GAAAGAAGTTTACTCTTATGTAATATTATATTTTAAAAATCGAAAAGGAAGAGTTTATTTTTTACAGACATATTAACTAATTTAAAATAATTAGTTTTGTTAGGGAAGCATGATAACGATTTGTTAATGTCCTTTTCCTAATTTGGATATTTTCTATTATTAACACACATTTGATTTGAGTTCATTTGATTATATGATTTTCAACTTTTATCAATAGAATAACGAGTAAAACAAAAAAAATTGCAAAGTATTACAAATAACCGTATTTTTATTTGAGCTATCTAATTATACTTTGTATGGCTTAGTGTACTAAGCTGTTGTAAGTATAATTATTAATGTAGCGATGACATAAAATTATAAGCTCTTGCTTAAAATTCTGTTCAATTAAATTTATTCAAAAAACGATATTTTGAAAATCACATATTTAAGGTAAATATTTATTTCGCTTTTGACATCAATTAATGAAATGAATGATGCAAAATTACTAAACTTTAAATAAATATTTGTCCAAGTATTTTTTCAGTGGTGGATCATCTGGATTTATCTCTGCCGATTTTTTAAAAGTATTGTGATATGAAAAAACGTAATGAATAATTGTCTGAAATTACAGGTATTTTTTTCTTGTAGGGATCGTTTAATGCCTTTTAAGATTTATAAGTTGCCTTCAAATAAATTACTTATTTATAGTAAAGTATTTACATTATATGTGTAGTAGGCCACAATGGAATTAACATTTAAATAGTCAATAAAATAACAAATTAACAAGACAACCGTCTAAACAGTTCAGTGAACTAGATATAAATACTATAAGGTAGATTATTAAATTGATTTTAACGTTAATATGACGGTAGTGACTATTTTAGACAGTATTGTGTTTAATATAGAGGTTTCGAAAAGTAGTGAGCTACAACAACAAAAATCCTTTTTATATTATTTCAATTAATTGAATTTTTTGCTAACCATACAGTTGTTTCAAGTATTGCCAAATACCCATCATCAGTGGTCTTGATGTTATTTCTTATATTTAATTATTCGTAGACTATTAAATAAATAGGACTTTTGTTGTGAGGCCGTTTAACTGAACTACTTGTGTTGGTGGTGAGATAGGTTATTCAATAAAACAAGAAAAAAATGATCAATTAAGATTTAAAATTTGTAGTCATCACGTACAATACTGGTACGACAGCGCTTGACCGAGTTCTCCATACATTTTTGGTAGGTTGATTTATGTTCAAATGTTACAATTAATGAACCAAGTGTATGACAAAATTATTAACAAAATGTTAGTCAACAAAAATCCATGATAATCGTATATATCACTATAACTGTGCCTGAGTACATCAGAGATCAGACAAAATGTTAATTAAAATTTATGAAATTGAAATTTGAACAGGTCAAAAACATTAATGTATCGCATTTCGGTATTAACGTAATGTTTTACAAATATTGTTCCGCATGAATTGACTGACATGACCAAATTTTTTGTTAAAAATGGTGATAACTGTTAACGGGTTTCCGCATCAGCTTTTTCGGGAAAATCCTTTCATCTAAAACGTTTTTGTTTTTTCTTTTTTGATAGTATATCAGGGATCTACTGTAGCTTAGATGAGTTAGTAGTTATAACAGTGATAATAAAGACCCACTTAGATTTATGGGTTTATGTGATGTGTTTTAAGGCATCTGGAACCTTAAATACTTTTTAGGCGAAATTCTTGCAGCTGTATTAAACATTTTAAAAAAGTATGTTTTAAGGTTCTACATTAGTTTACATTATAAATATCTGTTTTTAAAAATCAAGTATATTCAAGAATCATTTAAGTTTTTGAGGGATTTTCTTGTTAGGCTTGTACACTCTTTTATATTATCTATGCTTATCAAGTAACTAATATTGCAGATTATTTAAACTGATATCTGAAATACACGCAGTAGAAATAAAGCAGAACACATAAAAAGTTGTAAGCTACGCTAACATATTTAATATCCGTATTCTGGATTACAAAACACTGTTTCATCTCAATAAAAAGGCAATGTATTTCATATCTATTATATAGATATGGTATATTAAGAATATTAAATTCATACTTAAGGATTTTAGATTGGATACATTGGATTAGTGGGATAGTGGATTAGCAAGCATTGTTTGTCATCATGTGTGTATATGTTGGAATTTGAATAAGGCAAAATAATGAAGCCTTTTCTATTGTTAACATAGGTTCGACTTTTTGTTTACTCACCAACATTTTTTTTTTGTGATTTAATCTTTATTTGTATTTGTTTAACTCCGTGAGTATAGAGCTGAAGTCAATTGTTTTATCACCTTTCAAAATATATGAATTAAATAATTATGACTAACCCTAGATAACTAAGAGGAAAACAATCTTTAAGTGCAATCGAGTTGCCATTAAATCATTTGTAAGCGTAGAACTGAAAATAAGTAGAATTGTCTCCAAAGGAAACAAGTGAACATGTTTATTTAGAAAAATCCTCACGGTTTGATAGAGTCGATAATATGCTATTACGTCTTCTTTCTTAGCATAAGTATCCTGGATAGATTAGTGAATTTTTGTTCATTTCATTCCATCACTCTTTCTATTCTTAACTTTTTTCTTTAGTTTTTATTCAAATCATCCATTTTTGTGACGCTTTTTTCTTGACCACGATGAACACTTTGACAAATATTATTTTCCTACATTGTCTTTTTAGTAAGTGGCTGTCACCTAAAGCGATAAGACATTGTTTCTATTTCGTCGTTTTAACAGATTGGGAATGAGGTGGGCTCCTCATAGTGCTATAAATTTTCTGTAAGTTTTTGCGTTAATCTACGAGCAATTGCTCGAAATTACTATCCTACAGTAAGTAAGAATATGAATAGGTTGATTAGGTTTTTCAATAGGTTGATTTCACTTTTTAAATTCAAAGTAATTTAAATTGATACACAATTTCGAAATGAATTTTATTCATAGTGTAGAAGTAAAAGAAGTATATGTCTGCTACATACTGCTATAAGAAATGTACGAGGTAGTGTTTACAATTTTAAAGGTGTCAAGGATTTCATTTATCTTGGCACCGCCAAAACTAATAACAAACAGGGTCAACTTGGAAATCAGGCGAAGGGTTACCAATGCTAATAGGTTCTACTATGGGCTTTATAGGCAATTAGGATGTACAGCTCTCTGTCTCGATATTTAGATATATTTAGATAAATTTTACAATCTATACATCCCTTATCCTTTCTTTCTCATGAAATAATGAAGAGGCAGTGTTGGAGTGAAAAGTTCTTTTGATCCTTGGATCTCTACAAGTTAGCGAATGCCAATTTAGCACAACCCAAATACCCGAACTTAATTACAACATTACAGTGTCTTCACTAGCTGTATCATATCGTAAAAATGGAAGACGCTGCTATAGCGAAAATTGTGTTTAACCTGACAGTTGAAGATATAAAACCTAAATTCAGAATGTGACTGAAATGGAGTAATCAAGTTGATGGAGCTGTAACCGCACCTGATATCCGCTCATTATCTATCGAAATTAAATAATGAGTTTTTATGGCCAACTAAGTAGGAATATAATTTAGTTACTCCAACTATTCGGTAGTACCACTTATATCGTTTTGATATATATTAGTTTGAGTTCAATCTTAGAACAATTATTTATCGATATCAGATCTGCTAAGGACATTATTAAGTAAATTTTTGACTTCATGCTTTTTCTTTTTAAGATTATTTTAACTAATCTCTCTAGCTTTATTGAAATAAGGTCTATTGTGAGAGTAAACTTAAAGTTGTGCAGTAATTATAGAGTGGTTGATCGAAAGTATTCTGCAAAAGAATAGATACTCTTCTAATTATATTAAAGAGTGGCGTTAGTCGTTTAACCGAAAAGAATAAATAATTTGAGGTAGGTAAGTCGTTTAAAACTCTTTTTGGATTTCTTTATTTTCTACATGCAACGCTTTGATCTGTATAAAACAAACACTAAATATTGTAAATATTTATTTATTATTTATTTTATAAAAGAATAAATTTTTATAATACTTTTTGTTGCATATTTATTTAATGTTATTGATATCCTTAGTGAGGGTTGATAAGTGGAGTTTGGAGTAGGTCAAAGTTATTTCAACAGCACGCAATTGCATTTTCTGGCATTAATATTTTTTATTTCATATTTTTTATTGGTTATTATAACAATTATTATTATTAATTTAATTAGGAATTCATTATTTAAAATAAATCCATTCAATAATTTAAAATTAATTTTAATAAATGACTCAAGCTTAATACTTTTATAAATATTTGTTAAATCTTGAACAAACTGGTGTACATTTTATATAAATATTTTTTCATATAATGCAATTAAAATATTTAAAAATATTTAATGGTATATTGTATATATAGTGAAGGATGCACATACATCTATTAAAATCGCATTTTACTAAAACGTATTTCATCAGTATGTTCTGCTGAGTTCCTTACATTTTCTGTTAATATTATTAGTTTTGAAAAATTCTGAATGGATAGGCAATAGTAATATTGACTAAAAATGCTGCCACAACAAAATTATGGGACTATTACAAGAAAAAACTATATAAATATATAAGAACAAAGTAATTTACTATTTAGATACCCATAAACATGCATAAATATGCCCAAATTGTTTTGTTTTTGTAGCGTCCCTCGAGGCTTTGCATGCCAATTTCTAATTTTTGACGACGGTTGCCAGTGTTACGAATTTATTTTCACTGCTTCATAATTATTCGTTATATTTCAAGAACTCCATGACAACATAATTTTTGGGGTTTCTCTAGAAAAAAATCACTGCACTTAAGTCATTTCAAAATTGTCAGAATGAGGACAAAATTTAACTTTCGAATACGGTTTCCTAAATATTTATATATAATCTTAGTATGTACTCATTTCAATCTAAAAATCGTACATCTCCTAGATGCTCCACCAATAACGATACCAGATCAAGGAACAGTTGTTGGAACATATCTTAAAATGTTTCGAACACAAAATATAAAAGCATATCTTGGGATTCCATTTGCACAGGCTCCACGTTTTGCTCCTCCAGAAATTGGTAATTTGAAATGGCCAGGTGTACGTAATGCAACAAGTTATGGACCTAACTGTTGGCAAAAGTCTTCAAAGAATTTGGATATGAACACCAAAATAATATTTGATTTATTAAGTAATCAAAAATCAAATCTCGATCAAAATATATATGATGAAAACTGTTTAAACCTCAATATATTTCTACCAGATGGTGAGTTCATTACTAAATATTAATATTAAATATTAACACATAAATAAATAAATTTAAATAAAAAATAAATTTCGTTATATAAATCGAATTTGATTTATTTAGTTTAAATAGTTTTAGTTTTTAATTTATTTATGTATAGTTTAAATATTATAAATCACATTATGATTTATTTGTCTTTTATATTAAAATTTTGTTATCAATATTATTATTTCTTTTATTATTTACTGTTTTGTGCATGAACATAGAAAATCACAGTAAATGCGTTTCTAGTGAATTTTCGCTACTGTTTCATTAATTCCTATAGATCCATAGGACTGTAACAATCGTATTTTATTCAGAGGTTTTGGTTTATATATGTACAATATATAAAAATATAAAAACAGATTTGTCATTGAAAAGAATTTTTGCTGTTGTAGTTCACTACTTTTCAAAAAAGACCTCATTATGAAATAAACTAGTTTCTATTAAATATAATAGTCACTTTCTTTTAGACGAAAATTGACGTTAAATTACAACTTATATTCACAAAATATATGGTCTCACCCGGGCGAATCGTGGAGTAACTTTCTCAGTATTACATTCCTAAATTAAGTTCTATACATAAGAAAGAAGATATAAATCATGCAACAAATAATGCCTTACAAACAGAATAGTGTTGAAGTTTGACAACTAAAATTAAAATAAAATTAATTCAATTATTCTACAGCTGGTTTATGATTTCGTTCTAATATAAACACAGCAAGTGAATGAATTAATAATAATATTAAATTAATAATTTCACAGCAAATTAACAAAACTCCAGAAAATTGTGTGAACATAAATGTCAAGTACGACTTTGGGTCAGTTGGTTAAGGACCGCTGACTTTGAGCTTTAAAATTGGTAGGACACGAGTTCTATTTCTGGTACTTGTAGTCTTGAAAAATTATTTACGAATAATTATATAGAAGAATTATTTCCAAGAACACAGATGATGGGTATTTGGCCATACTCGAAATAGCTGTGTGGTCAGTTAAAAATTCAATTAATTAAAAAATAATATAAACTGAATTTTTGTTATTGCAGTTTACTATTGTTCGAAAAAAACCTCTTTATGTACAATATATATAAATATAAAAATAGTGCAGATGTCGTTATTTGTATACGGTTGCAGATTTGTCAACGATTGTCCCGATTCAAACAATAAATATTTAACTTATTTATTGTGTGAGAATGAATCATAACATATACAGTGTGATATAAAAACTTCTTAAAAGGTTTATAATATTATTATATATGTATGTGATATATTCATTTAACTTGCTCATTTTGCAATTTTAAATAAGCAAATAAAATTCTATTGATTATAATCTCCTAAGTTTCATTTGAGTTGATGCAATTTCGTTGGCTACACAAGTTGACCTTTAAAATTTGGTTTTAATACAAAAATTATACACAATTGCATATCATGACTACTGATAATATATTCGTTTATAGTTATTTAAAAATTTAATTATATCATAGTTTATTTTATGGGATCCACATTTAACAGAATCGATCTAAATTAAATGGATTTATTTTTGTACCCCATTTTTTGTCATATTTTTGGTTATTCTTATTAATAATATTTCGTAACCCATTAATCCATTGTTTTTTTTGTATCAAATCTAGATAATTTAAAGTTCTCTTCGATTTTTCAAAATATTAAAAACTATTTGTTAACACAGTTAAACTGTTAAAAATATATATATTAATTTAATATATATTTAATATCTTAATTTATGTACTTATAGGTTTTGCTGGTTCTACTGGTTTTGCAGTAATAGTTTGGATACATGCTGGTGATTTTTCATATGGGAGCTCAACAACCATAGATCCCTTTCATTTGGTTTTCAAACAAAATGTAATAGTTGTTACTATTGCTTACCGTTTAAATATTTTTGGGTTTCTATCTACTGGTGATGGAGAATCGCCAGGAAATTATGGACTTATGGATCAATCAGCTGGATTATATTGGGTACGAAAAAACATTCATCTTTTTGGAGGCGATCCAAACAAAATAACTATAATGGGACATTCAGCAGGTGCTATTAGTGTAGGCTTACATTTAACTTCACGAGAATGGTCGAAAGATGCTTTTCAGAAAGCTGTTATGATGTCGGGAAACCATTTGGCAAAAGATGTTGTTAAAAATCCAACTGAATACGCAAAAACTTTAGATATGATTGCAAATGTATTTGATTGTCCAAACAAACCAACTTATCTATTGATACAATGTTTAAAACGTCACGATGCAAAAACTATTATAGATAACATGCCGCCAATTGAATGGGGTCCAGTTATTGATGGAGGATTAAGCAATACTTCGTTGCCATTCATTGAAACTGAACCAATTATGTCTTTTAAAGTAGGAAACTATCATAAAGTCCCACTTTTAATCGGATTGACAGATATGGAAGATGCTTTACTTATCATTGAAAACGATAATACAAATAAAATAACAAGTGAAGATTTTTATAAAGTGATTTCAGATATTGCTTTAAATGATCTTAAAAAACTTTATGAACCAGAATTTGAAAGTGTGTGCTCGCATTCGCAAATAGTAATTGATTCAATCGATTATATATACGACGTTAGAAACGGCGGAGATGTACTTAACAGTTTTGTTAATTTTTATACGGACAAAATGTATGCTGCACCTACATGTCAACTTGCAGATATTTTAACTGAAAGTGAAAGTATATATACATACTTCTTTAATATAAAACCAAAAACCAAGTTTTACGAACTACCTACTTGGGTAAGCGTACCAAAATTTTATGATCAAATATTTATATGGGGCGTACCGTACATGAATAATTACGAACTCGTTAAAGAATGGAATTATACAGATAAAAAAATTTCAGATATAGTAATGACTCTTTGGGCTAATTTTGCAAAAACTTCCAACCCTACAATATCTAATGTTTATGTAAAATGGAGTCCCTATAATAAGTTAAATAGAACTTTTTTAAATATTAATGATAATTTTGAATATAAAACTTTAAATAATATTCATAGAATATCATTTTGGAACGAATATTATCCAAAAATTTTGAATTTTACAGCTGAGTGCTGTAGTTTAAATAGCAGTACGAACTTCCATTTATCTTTTTATATAATCTTGTTAAATGTTATTATCTACTTCCGTAAATATTTAAATTATTTGTAATGGAAAAATTAGCATAATTATACAAAATTGATTTACAATAATTAAATAAAAACAAAAATTAATAAAGAAATAAAAATTATGAGCGAGAAAATTAGTGCTTCACGTAGCTTGTTTCCAATATGTAAACACTACATTCAAAACTACGGTTTCAGATTTGTTTATTCCATTTACAATAATTAAACTTAAAAGTACCTTAAATATACGTCATAAGAGAAGATTTTTATAAGCAATGCTTAAATGTTTTATAATATTATATTATGAAATAAATTGAAATATTTTTAAATTAAACGATTTGTTTTAATGAAAAGTGTTTATTCTGAATATTAACTATTTCAAAACAGTAGCATATGTATTAAATTAAAATATTTTTCAAAATTTTATTAAATTATTACAAAAATTACAACTTAATATTTACTTAATTTAATAATATGTAAATAAACTAGTAAATATATTTATTTAGATTATATAGACGTAATTAAAAAAAATTAAAATGGGTAAAATAATATTATTAAATTAAAAAAACCTTCTATTGCTGGAAATTAAAAAATGAAAAGTACACACACAATATTGCTTTCCTTTAATATGAAAAACGACATAATATCGTTTGAATTTATGACTTCTTATGAAGAAGTGACTAAAGCTCGTAAATGTATAATTAGTTTTTTGTGATCACTAACCTCCTGTTTTGGTATTTGACTGCGATGATT